TGTCAACATTTGTCACGTTGTGTGTTGCAGGTGCAGTACATTGATCAGGTGGACGTTGAGGGAAGGTCGGGACTGCACGCCGCTGCCACGCACGGTTCCTCACAGTGCATGAAAATATTGCTGGATGCGGGAGGTGAGCACAACCGGGGGACACACCATGCGAATATCGGGTGATACTCCATTAGGAGTGTTCCCAACTTTAATGTCATTAATGGTCATAATAACATATATATATATATATGGTCATGGCCATGGTCATATATTAGTTTGTGGTTTAATGTCATTTAGGTTAGGGTTAGGATTAGGGTTAGGATTATCAATCATTAATCATTAATCATTAATGATATCAAAGTTGGCAACACTCTTAATGGAGCGTTGGCCCGAATTTCGCTGCGGTCATATCCTCAGCGAAATACCCGCATGCGATAATTGAGCGGACACACCATGCGAATTTATTCGCACGACCGCAGCGGGGACATTACACGCGATCTACTGTCTGTCTGTACTGTCGGTATCGGTATCGGTTCGGTTGGCAGCGAAAATATCAAACATGTTTGATCTCTGCGAATTTCGGTGCGGATGAAATTCGCGGCAAAATTCGCACCGCGCTTGAGCGAACACACCGTAAGAATTCCGCAGCAGTTTTAAAATCCGCTGCGGTCGTGCGAATAAATTCGCATGGTGTGTCCCCCGCTTAACACACTCTGTCACGCCTCCAACACCACGCTAGCTCACACTCAAAGTCAAATTTGTTAAATTGGCGTACTTTAATTTAAAAATTAAAATATTACTTAAATTTTGTAATTAATTAAGTAATTAATTCACACGAATTATTATGAACGAATTTTTTTAGGAAAAATTTAAATGTTAGGTAATGGAGATGACAAGTAGAGACGTAGATAGATATAAAAAAAAAAATTCAATAGCTATCGTGTGAATACGTGCGAATGGACTTTAATCATAGTTTCAGACTGGAGGTTACACGCTAGTACTGTTATCATGCACAGCATATATTTAATGTCAACGATTCGCATGCCGTCGAGTGTGTTCAGGCCGTCACCTCTGTGGAACTGCCACCTGTCTATAAAGGCAAAATTTCCCCTGAGTGGCAGTTACACAGTGAAACCACCTCCATATAAAGGCCATCTGTCATATACGGGACACTTTTGATGGTTTCCTTTTGAGTGGCCATTATGATGTGAAGCTGTGACTCTATGTACTATGGCTTAGCACATGTATGTGTACATATAAGTGTACAGTATCGTGAACATGGGAAAATTTATTTAAGGTATAATTAATGCCTCGGCCATATGTATATTAAAAGAGAGAGAGAATGAGAGACAGAGAGAGAGAGAGAGAGAGAGAGAGAGAGAGA